GATTCGTTTTTTTTTATAGTTTTTATTAGCGAGATCGATCCTTATGGCTGTGCGTCGTCCAAATATTTGAAACCTAGTAGCGTCCGAGGTATTCCACCGTCGAGGCGACAGGGTCGACGACTAGCGTTGGATGTCGTTGTTGTTGATTTGTGGCTGTTGTAGTAGCTACATCCAATACTTATATCCAGCTCTGACAACCACTATTAGTGGTTGTCAGACTATCTAAGGCCATGTGCGGGCAAGGATGGTCGGTACTGAAAGAGTAACTCTTCAACTCTTTCAGGAACTTTTTCAGTTCTGTTTCAGTACCCTTTTCTTTCTAAACTGTTTCAATACATATAGCAGCTTTAGCGAAATAGCTCTTTTCAACTCAAACACGACCTAAGCGTTTATACGTCAGACGCTTAGAGTTTTTTCGAATGTATAATACTTCAACAGTGACGATGACAAAACACCATCCAAAATTACTGCTCACTGCCAACAACACCTACAGTACGTGGTGCGGGAAAAATCGAAAGTAGGATCACGTGCCCACGAAAGACGGGTGGAAGGCCAAGTAAACGAACTATGTAATCAGGATACACATTAATACTGTTGTCTCCTTTACGAATATGCAGCCTAGTTCAGCAAACAGATGATAAAAATAGTATGCAACAAGAACGAGCGATACGATAATATTGGAGCATTTCAGAGATTCACTTTTGATTTGTCCGTCAAGAGAAATGAGTCTCACCGAACTACTGCAAAGTCGTATTAAACGCAGGGAGGAACAACGGCTTCCAGCCTTCGAGAAAGCGTCAGCCATCGTTGCAATACTACGTGATGCAGGCAAGACAGACACCGCCAAAACGGAATCGTCCAACCATGAACCGACCCCATGCCCGGCTTACATTAGCCTCGACATGTACATCGCTTTCCGTGAACCGTTTTCTTGTGGATGGAATCTCTGGTTGGGAGATCGAGAACTCGCTACCCTGTCACCCGAGCTGAAGAAGGAACTTCCAGAGATGTCCTTTGATGACAAAGCGGCCAATTTCTTTCGATTGTCGGTCTGGCAGAGAAAGAAGCGAGATGTGGAAGCTCAAGACATCACTGAATCCCGGACGGAGCTGAGATATTCGTCGAGCGGGTGATGGGACTAAACTTGTTCGAGAACAAGCTTGCCCAAGGAAATACAAACCGAATTGAAATGGTAACGAAAGTTTGTGACACTGACTCCGAGATTGAGTGTACAGCTTCTGGTGCCAGCAGCAAAAC